TAACCTACAGTCCCGTGGACTATTGGGACCGAATTGGCGACAAAAAAGAAAACCCGCACGCATGCATCACGCACGTGCACCCAACACACACCACCAAAAAACACAATCTCGGGGAGAGGGAGAACGACAGAGAGGTTTGCAGGACAGCAACAGCAATACCCATGTCTGCACAGAGCGACGACGAGTTTGCGCTGGATCCCAGGGCCCCGCGTGCACAAACGGGGCCAGGTGTGAGGTTAATCACACGGGGGTTCCTTCCCGTCGCAACCATACAGCATTGCTGGACAGCCAAACAGCTGCAGCAGTGTTGGTGTGAGTCGGCAGGGTCCCGCGGCAATGCATGTGGGCATCAGGCCGCAAGGGATGCCGGGGTTCCACCCCGCGGCTTCGAGCGCTAGCTACTATCAACCGGTGCTGTTTTTGCTGGTGGGGCTGCTTCTTGTGCTCCTCCTCCTGGCGCCGTCCCTGTTCCTCGACACTCGTATCTTTTCGAGAGTCGAGTGCCCTTGGGTTTTCCGGGCGTGGTCCAACAACGCGGGCTGTTGAACGCAAAAACGTGTGTGTGTGGGATTTTTTTTCACGCTTTTTTGCAAATTTCAATGGACCCAAAAAGTCGAACTTCGAACTATCCGCTTGTTCGATGTTCGATGTTCGACTTTTCCAAAAATTACGTAGGACCCACCCTTAGACTCGTGTCAGTTGCTAATCCCAAAATCTAGCAAAGTTTCGGTCCGTGGTCACAAAAATGCTAGAGCCATCAGAGGATCTAAAGAACACACACACTATTGGCAAGAAAAGGGTACGAAAGCCCGAGGAGGTACACCTGCAATCCCTGCAGCACGTTTGCGTGTTCACNCTCGTGTCAGTTGCTAATCCCAAAATCTAGCAAAGTTTCGGTCCGTGGTCACAAAAATGCTAGAGCCATCAGAGGATCTAAAGAACACACACACTATTGGCAAGAAAAGGGTACGAAAGCCCGAGGAGGTACACCTGCAATCCCTGCAGCACGTTTGCGTGTTCACAACTGAACTACACGCCCACACACTACAATTCGACTACAGCAGCAGAATCACCCGCTTTGTCCCGTATTTGACCAAAATGAGTGTCGACTACAGCGTACTGCCGTCTGAAGTGCTGTATATACAATAAGAACACCATGGTGCATGGTACACAAGCTCGGGGCATGCAGCTGTGGTCTGAAGTGCTGTCATAATGAGTCCGTGGACATACAATGAAGAAGAACACCCAACCAAAGCCATCATGGCA